ACTGTGACACACTTTGAACACTTAACGCCATCAAATAATGGTGCCTCCTCAGTGTAAACTTCAAAGCAACTAGGGCAAAACAATTCTAAGTGGGATTTTAGCAAGCAAGAAGTGCAGAGATGGCAAAAGATACCTCTGGAGGAGCAATGAAAGTAGCGCCCATGTCCTTGAACATACAATTGAACATTACATAGCTGAGGTTGCTTGGTATAATCTTTGAAAGATGCTCAATCACGTGAATAGGCGTAGAATCAATCCTAGCACCTGGCTGAATTTCAGGGTTCCAGCCTGAAGAGATACAGGGCGATGAATCTGAAGGTTGTGCAAAGTGTTTCACAAACGTCTCCGATGGGATAGCTTCATTAGCCAAAGGTTCACCAATAGTTTTCACCAAAAGTGGTGGTACGTTCCGTTCAACTATAGCTAGAGGGATCGCAGCAAAGTCAGGGTTATCCGCCACAATTATGGCTCCAGAAGCTACATCAAAAATAGGATTGGTGTAGACAACCTCATCTTCATCAATTGAATCAACGATATCAACAACCACAGCTGACCAATTGGCAGCAGGTGACGATGTCAAAATCAGGACCCTGGAATGCCTCGCTGAAAAACAGAAAAGAAGAATCCTCCGAATGAAAATGGTGAAGAAAAAAAGAAGAGCAGAAAGATGATGACTAAGAGAAAAAAGAGAGCAAATGAAGAAAATCATGTTTCAGAATTGAACAGGCTTGAAAGGGGTAAGGAGTCAAGTGGGAGAGGTTGACGTCACTGGGAGAAAAAAAGGGAAAAAAGAGGATGAAGAGACAGAGGTGGTGGAAACAGACGTGAGAGAAGGGGCAAGATGGACGGTGGAGGTAGTAATGGGACAAGGTACGGCATGGGTAGGGAGTGGCAATAGAGGAGGAGCAAGATTGGCGATGGAAGCAGAATTGGGGAGAGGTGCAGGATGGGTAGGGAGATACGGTGACGGATCAAATGGAGGAAGCTGAGATGAAAACATGGGATAAGAGCCCAAAAAATGGGCTTTGGACAAAGAGGCAGGCTCATAACAAAAAGGCTTAGGAGCGGCACCCAAAAAGGCAGGTAAAGAGGGGCCAGAAACAGAATCAGAGAGTAAAGCTTCTTTCTTTTATTTTTCAAAATAGCTGACGGTTTCAATGAATGAAATCCTAAAAAATCCTTCGTAAAATAACGGCCAGTAGGCTCCCAAATTTTAACTTTTTTGGAGGAAGAGGAAGAAGATCCAAGCGATTCAACCTCAGATCTATTGCCACGTGGCCTTGCAAATCTGGGGTTCAACCAATGAGGACCCTAGTTCGCCAATGGAGGCCAAACCCTAGTATGTCTAATATTGACTCCAAGACGTTGAACATGGGGTCTAGCTTTAGGCTTTCTAAGAACCTCAACCCAGGAGCGATCTTCCTTACCAGTAGAAACTTCAAGAGGGGTCAGAGTCGGAGGGTTGACAGTTTTCAAACCTTCAATGGTGACATCAATGATAAAAAGGTTTGAACCAACAAAAAGGTTGATCAATGAGGGAGTCAAGGAATGGTCACATCTAAGAATATTGACTCTAATAAAAGAGAGATCAGGACACACCATACATTCCCTGTCCACGTCCACAAAAACACCCCACCAAATTGGCTAGATATTGAATGATTCCCATATTCCAAGCATGGAGAGGGATACCTCCAAAGCGAACCTAACAAGGGGAGTGTAATAATCCTAAAATATCAAAAAAAAAAAAAAGAAACTTTTTATAAGTGATGGTCCATATAAGCATGATAGTCTTTAGGGACCATCACCATTTTCAAAGCTTTTAGTTTGAATTTGTTTTGTTTGCTGCTGCCTTGCAACGTTCAGTGGACGTGGGCTTTAAGCATATAAGAGGTAATATAAACGTTACACCTCGTGTATGAGGTGTAACTTAATAAAATATTATTATAAGGTGTCGTAAAAGTTTAAATATGAGAGGAGAGGATTCTCACCCTAGAAAATTTTGAGGTCTCTCTCTCTAGCCCAATTTTTATTGGAAGCTCCCTCTCAAAAATATTTTAGGTAAGTGACATCGTCTTCCTGAAAAATAATCTGTTTTTAATAAATAGTGATATTTCCGTCCAGGATCTTTATTTTATAAGTTTTATGTGTAAGTGACATTATTATCTTGAAAAATAATCTATTCTTTTACAAAATTAAATTAAATAATTATTTCTGTTTATTATCATGAATTTCAGGCGCGATAAATTTTATACGCACGCGACCTCATTATTTTGAAACATAACCTTTTTAATAAAAATTGTGATATTTTATCTATGTTAGAAATTTTGAATGTTGTAAATTATTCGAAATAAATTTATTTATTTTTCTTGTCTATTGTTAGAAAATTTTAGATACTAGTAAAATTATTAGAAATAAAATGTGATATTTCTGCTTTTAGTAAATGTG